TTCACAGGGAGCTGGACGTACCTGATAAATAACCGTAATTACTGGAGACACATTAACGGGTACGTATTACACATAGCTTCAGTGGCTTATTTTTAGTCTTCGCCGAGTGCGAGTGTAGGAGCTGAGAAATCGTATTAAGTGGGAACAAATCAACAAAGTTCTGCTGTATTAACTGGTGCCTTTACATCACGGTGAGCTCACCAGCAATGGAAAGAAAAATGGTAGGTGTAACCTTAAGAGACAAGAAGAGAGCAGAGTGGATTAGGGAACAAACGGGGGTTAAGGATATCATAGCTGAAATCAAAATGAAGAAATGGACATGGGCAGGGCATGTAGCGCGTAGACAGGATAACCGCTGGTCATTAAGGGTAACTGACTGGATTCCCAGAGAAGGGAAGCGGGTTAGGGGGAGACAGAAGGTTAGGTGGGCAGATGAGATTAAGAAGTTTGCGGGTATAAATTGGCAGCAGCAAGCACAGGACCGGGTTAACTGGCGGAACATGGGAGAGGCCTTTGTCCTGCAGTGGACGTAGTCAGGCTGATGATGATGATGATGATGAGCTCACCAGCAGAGTCCTATATTAACCATGTATGATAACATGCTAAATAGTTTAATATAAATGCCAATACAGCACATAACACATACAATGTGCAGTACTTAAGGATTCAAACGAGACATCAAGTTTTTCAGTATAGCGACTGGCATGAGCTTGTGATAACGACATCATGTCGTGACGAATCTGATATCGAAATATAATGTTGCCTTTGATCTGTGCTTTCGAGTCAGAATTATGCTGATATAACCCGTACCGAAAACGGGGGGAAATGGAAATTTCTGCATTACTTAGCCCTAAATTGTTCCGTTTCAGTCCTAAGTGCTGGACCTAGAATGTGGTGCTGCAGATGACTGATTTACAATGAAGGCCCGTGGAAATGGGCCATTGTATCGCACCCACAGACCTCCCCAAGATCCGATTGTTGCAGAACCGTCAAGTCACAAAATAGAAAAAGTGCTCTTCCTCAAGCACACATAACCTTGTTACCGTCACACAGCGCTTGGTAGCGCCACTGCCAAAGCACCTTCAGAGACTTCAGCCAGTGTGGGAGCACAGCACCACCTCTTGCTCCAGGGCGTTCAATCTAATGACTAATTCACCAAGAGAACATGTGTCATGAGATGCGGTACATGTGCCACATCTAAAGCTACAAAATAAAACCGGTTGTTTCAAATATTGAAATATTGAAATTTAAGAAGGGAGGCTACAATCAGATACCAACTTTTTTGTTTATTGAGATATCTCAATGAAATTTTCAGGATAGATTAATAGAGCAAGAGCATTAGAACTACTCCGCAATTTCATGAAGTTATGTTCACTGGTTCTCCAATTATGGCAGTATGTCAGAATAGTGCACATGGTTCTCTTATTCAGGGCCTGGAGAACTTTCAAAAGATGCTGGAAGTGTAAAATTAACAACGATGATTCTCAGCTTGATACACCAGGGGTAACAGAGCTCTTTTTTTTAATTTCCTTACTGGAAAGATTTCACAGACCATCAAATTCAGTGTTTGTGATTGGGGTATTATTAATCAAATTTTGATTAGCTATCATAAATAACAGACACAATATATTAAAAAAATGGGCTTGTCTCTCCCTCAGAAATTCATTCACGTACATAACAAAAAAAGACATGAAAATAGGATGAGTGGTTCCCCACATTTGGCTGGAACAAGCAGTCTCACTAGTCAAAACAGTCATTTTGAGAAAACGACATTTGAAAGTTTTGAGCACAACCCTGCCGCATAACTGAAGGTGTCCTTTGGCACTCTCTTTCTTTGCTGCCTTTCCGTCTTCTCCAAGGATCTCTTCTTGGCATTTTTCAAGCGCAGTGAATCTTTCTCGGCTGCCCGTTGAATGGCCAGGCAGTGCTCCATTGATCACGCTCCATTGCCTGAAATTTCTGCTTCGTCGCTGGCATAGCGCCAAGTTCTCTTTAAACAGCAGCGCGTTGTTTACCAGATGCCTCTTTCTCTTCACACGTAAGAAAACGTGTTCGCAAGTGCACTGTTGACGACATGATCGCACTCTCGGAGGCGGATGAAGGAGAGGATGTGGAAGCCCCTGTCGGTAAGCACAAGACATCAGCAGGCGCACTTGCAACGTCAAATTTTAGTACCGGTGGAGCAGGAGTCCCGTGTTTAGGCGCGTCGATGCAACCACACTCTTGCATAGATGAAGAAGCTGCACCACATGTACTGTCGGCGCGATCACCGTTGGCGTACGTGCAAGCGGAGATCATCGCCATGCGAACAACCTTCATAGATCGCTTCCTTGCACCAAACACTTGTTGCGTCGTCCTTTTCGTTGGACGCATCGTGAGCGAATGCAACAACAGTTTCGTAAAGACAGTTGAAAATCGTCTCATGAAGACGTTTGAAAATCCTTTCGTAAAAACGAATGAAACGCGGAGTATGCGAACGGCTGCAATGATACACGACAGCGAGCGGAACAAGGAATGCCGGGGATGGACGAGCAGCAGACGATAGAGAGCCGCATTATGTGCAAGAGTACTATGTCACTGCGCGCAGCAGCCAATCACAGTCGCAGGGTTCTTCTCCTCCTTGAGGAGCGTGCACATCGCCCAATCCCAGTGGCGCGTCTCTGCCGCGGGAAACTTCAAAGCTCTCGCGAACACTTCAATCATGAGCAGTTTGCTCCTCTCCTGCGCTGCCCCCGTAACCGTGGGTGGCAGGAAAAGAAAGTGCAAGAATTCACAAACAAAACACCAAAATGGCTGAGCTCTGTCAAGCAATCGAGAAACTGCGATCGCACCAAGTTGGGCTGTTTTGAGCGCTCTCATGTCGCTCAAGGGCTGCGGTGGCTTGTTGTTGACTTTATTTCAAACAGTTTCGTGATGAGTTAGACATTGATATTTACAGAAAAGGTAGTTTACGAGACGTACAGTTGAGCCCACATATAACGGCCCCACTTAAAACGAAATTTCGCTTAAAACGAACAATCTCCGCGTGACCGTGAAAATACACATTGCTTCAATGGCACAAAATTGCACTTACAAAGAACGTCTCCGAGCACCGCTGATTGGTTACAGCGAACGGAGTCGGCGGTCTGCCGTTTTCCCAGACACCAATTTCGACCACCGATCAGGCATCGGCGTGGTGCCCATACATTCTTATTGCTGAACGCCGACCCTGCCTCCGCGACCCTCTAGTTGCCGCTCTCCCCAACCCATGAAGGAAGGAAAGCTGTTTCCTTCCTCTGTTTCCTTCCTCCATGCCCCGACTGCTTTTTGTTACGCGCCCCTCCGTCCTTTGTCCCCCCCGCTACTCTGAGCACCCCGCATTGCCAGACGAGACCCGTGTTTTTACACTGCCACCGATCTTTCGACGACCGGTCGGCCACATACCCTGTTTTTGATCGTTTGTACTGTCGTTGCCGTCGCCAGCCTGGAGTGACCCCAGACTATTTGCCAACATCATCGGCCACCGACTGTATCCGATAGTCTAAGTCTAGTGCACGCGCCTACGCTACCCCACCGATACTGATAATTTGCGATTCCTTTCGTGTTTAGGACTTGTTCTCGCTCACTTTGCACTCGGCTCAGCATGCCTTCCGCGTGCGTGCAGAAACACCAAAACGGCTGTTGATTTGCGTGGAACGAATCGCGAAATATCGAAGTTCTTGAGGCCATGCAAACCCGCCGGCGCAACAAAACGATTTTTTGACCACGGCCGCCGATTCTTCGAACACCGCCGTGCGCACTGATCCAGGAGGCCATGCTTTGACTTCTGCGCGCGCAGGCACTCTTTCAAAGTTTTTCTATGTGCGAGTTTCCCGGACCTTTCAAGTAAGCTAGTCAACCTGCCTCCTTCCCTTGTGTTTTGGTTTCCAAGATCGCCCTCCCGCCGCATCCTCCCCTCTCCTTACCGCAACTTCTTGCCCTTTTATCGCAAGTCTGCTCTCCTCTCTTGATCACAAGCCCTTCGCCCGTCTCCATCGCTCCGCGACGCCCGCCACACTGGCTCGAATCAGTATCGTTTTTTTACTGGACACGGGCCCAGAGCTGTTCCACGCGTTCTGGGGTGTGTGTCGCGTGTGCGCATCTTGCTCGCTCTTGGTTTGCGTGTGTGGTCATGATGGCCGACGGGAGGACTAGGACGATTTTTCCTGCCGCTCAACAAAACGTGGAAAGTGTGACCGCTTGGCTTGAGCGTAATCCGCGCGTTAGATGCCGTGTTGCGGAGCGCTTGCTCATAGCTGTTGATCACCTGGCAGCCAACTTGCCGCTTCGGGCGTCCCGGTATTCAGCTATGGAGATGGTGAATATTTCGTAGGCGGCGGTGACGACTACATGGGCGCGAAACTGTTTTGTCGACATCGGACCCGATGCCGAGCCTGGAGCTTCCAAAGTGCGGTGGCGATTTGTGGCAGCGCGTCGTCGACTCCGACCTGGGAGAGCGGGTGGGACATCTGTTGCGGTGGGTTAATTACGGCAGATGATGATGCCGACACTGCGGAATCGTGCACGGATTGGGGCATTGTGAATTAAGTACGTGGCGAGAGCGATTTGAAGAAATCGGATTGCGAGAACGACAAAACTTTGGAGCCAGCGCCTCACGCAGCTTATGCCACGGGCCTCGGCGAACGAGTCCCTTGCCGTTTTAAATGAACTCGAAACCGCCCTCATCATTCCTGCTATTCGAAACACGTGAATCACGGACTTTTGGGGCTAAAAAGTTTGTGTTTTCACTCGCAATTTTCTTTAAAAGCTGTGTTTCATTTACTACGAACTTCGGGATACTGTGAACGGATGCCGCGTCACGCTCAGCTTCGTTATTAGCGGGCTTGACTGCACTGCCCAAATATGTAGCTTTCTAAATATCAACTTTTTGGCAATTATTTTTGTTTTCAAAGGCAGCTTCCAGCCTTAGGAAGCAGGGGCAAATCACGGGCGACAAAAATAAAGTCTGCATTGACAAATACCTGGACTGCAATGTCCGCACAATCTCCTCGTCCCTCTTGGCCTGCCTCTCTTCCTCGAGCTTCCGTTCGAGTTCCTGCTGAGCCGCTTCCAACTCTTGTCGTTTCTGGTGCTCACTTTTGAGCTGCTCTTCTGCCTGCCTGCGAGCCTGGGAGGACCAATGGAACGACAATTCTCAGAAGGCATGAAAGCACAGACGTTGAGAACATGTCACTGTCAGAGCAGTTCCTAAAGCACAAATCCACAAGACAGTTAACAGGCATGCAATCAGCAACGAAACAGGCCACTCGCACAATCTGTCGCTCAGTCCAAATCATTCAGTCACTTGGTTTTAAAACTCTAGCATATGTAGCTGATTACCCGGAAATGCTATGTGCAACAAGCAGCAGAAAGCCGCAACAGGACATACACCAGTGATGTCCCGCCATGTGTCACGCACACACCACAGCACATGTTCAATGATCGTGCGTACAGAACGTGCAAATAAATTAACAAACGCTCATGCGTGCATGAAAGAAAAAAATAATGCAAGATCTTTACTAACAAAAAAATGAAAAAAGAAACCTATGAACATTTAGCCTTCCCCTTTCTATGTCAGTTAATGTAGATAAAAAGCGTTTTCAATGAACATAACAGACTAGACCGACTGTGTACTCCACCTTCGGAAGTGTTTTAGTATGCCATTTCTTACAACAACATATTGCTTTTACATTAGTATAAGCCACAAGCAACCCCTGGGTTTCATGACAGAGCAGTCATATTCATGCCAACAACATTGAAAATCTGTCGCCAAAGCTGTCACATTAATGGATAAATGGGGTTCGGTTGTGCAGGGGACTGTGACGTCCATCGTGTAACTCATAGATGTTGCAGGTATTTTTGCACGTATGGTGTTTAGGCTCCAAGAGGTAAGCTATGAGTGTTTTGCACTGACACGGCACTTCCCAATCATTTAAGGCAAGAAAGTGACTCTCAGTAGAGGAAACGAATGTCAAACATGCTGATGAGAGAAAAAAAAAAGAAACTTTATTTACTTCTATGTGCTAAAGCTACAGCAGCTCTGATGCCCACCTATTGATTGTCTCTTCCTTGCTGCCACAAAGCAATTCCTACCTGGTATGTATATTTTAGGCTCTGCAATGTCCTTTTCAAGCAAATTTCCTACTTGAACTCAAACTGGAGGCATGTGTTAGATTTGGGGATGTATCACAATTAGGTGAAACAGTGCATTGTTTTTTCTACCTTGTGTATTATTCAAGGAATCTGTTAATCAAACTTTCCTCACAGGTCCCTTGATGTTGAATAAAATACTAGCCAAGTGTTCTTTTACATTCGAGATGCGCTACCTCTTTCTCCTTCTCGAGCTGTGCAAGGTGCTGCAGTCGCTGTCGCTCCTCTTCCTGCTTCCTGGTGTGACAGGCCTGCCTCTCGTTCCGGCGTTTGATGGCCAGGTGGCGCTGGTAGGAGCGATGTGTGTACGAGTGCTGTGCTGCTGTCTGGATGGCTGCATGTGGCAGGTGGTAGCACGACAATTGTAAGAGAATTCGTCGCTGGGATAGTTGGTTCATAACAGTAAACTGCAGAGCACAAATCAGTTTCCGGAAATGACAAAACACACACAGTACAGGACAAGGGCTTATAGTAGCGGGGTGCTCTTTGCAGTTTACTAGGACGGAAATTGTTTTTGAGAGCAACTTTACGACACGTTAGCATAGTGATTCCTGCGTATAGTAAAACTGCCTATGCACCATGTTCACCTACGAATACATATACACTATGCTTAAAATTCAAAGAGAGCTAGTTCTCTTGTTGCCAGAATATAAAAACCCTAAAGCAAACGATCTCAACTGTTGTGCTCACAGTAGCAGTTATTCTGCCATCTATTTATTGACAGTAGCTGTTGTCTAATGATGCATTAAAGTCGACGTCTGATTTCCCAGACACTCAAGAGACCGGGAAAACATTTGGAAAATTGGGCAGTCCGAAAAAATGAATGCACGTGAAAACGCACCTTTTTTTGTAGGTATTTTTCGCTGACGGAGAAAGTAACAGCCGGAGTACAAGAGTCCCATTGCAATTCAGTCAATGCATCGTTTAGGTGGCTTTGAAAACAGCTGTTTATATAAAGAAAAAAATCCGACGTGGCCGGCGCTACCTCATAGGTCACCACTTGGGCGCAAAGAAGTCACCTATTTTCTTTTGCACGACGTTTTGCTTACCCGCAATCATATCTGCCTCAATTTCAGTCAACGTCATGTTGCCGCTGTACACCGATGACAGTGTCATCAGTGCTCGCGTCAACTCCGAGCTTGTTGGCTGCGTAGGAGATGGCCCTTCGATCTCCGTGTCAGAGTCGTCAGAATCCTCCGTAACTTCACGAATGATTTCGTCATCGGTCAAGTCCGCACATAGCTCGAAGTCTGTCAGCGTCGGCGAAGCCCTCAAAGGTTATCCCGGCTGGAATCGACACGCCGGCAGCGCACAGGTCGTCGAAGGCAACATCCGCGGATGGCAGTTAATCACACACGCTGTCCACTTGGGGCGAGACTGTCGTCTCTGCAACGAGTAAGAAGCCCGCATGGCGAAAGCAGTTCCGCAGAGTTTCTTGCATAACCGCCTTCCACGATTCCGCTAGCATGCCGCAGCAGTGTAGCTGCTGCGGCATGCTAGCCGCATCTCCTACGCTTTTCTCGTTGTCAGAGCAGAGCCCCATGCGGCTGAGCACGCGTGATTTGCACTGATGCTTTGTGTTCCGAATCACGCCTTGGTCCATCGGCTGCAAGATTGCTGTGGTGCTCGGCGGCAAAAATTCAATCTGTATAGCCTTTAGGTTCTTGATGTGGCCATACACAGCGCAGTTATCCACAAACAGGAAGACTCTTCCGATTTTTTTGCTTGAACCTTCTGTCCAGCTTGCGCACGTACACTTCGAATTACTGCTTCGTTACCCACGCCTTCTTGTTAGCTTCATAGAGAACAGGCAGAGTCACTGCCCCCTTGAAACACCTTGGATGCTTCGACTTGCCTATTACTAGCAACAGAAGCGTCTTGCTGCCTGACATGTTGCTGCTAACAAGCACAGTCAGCTGCTCCTTGCTGTGCTTGCAGCCATCCATGGCAGGGGTCACCAGCAAACGCAAGCATTTTCTCTGGCAGCAGCTTGTAGAACAGTCAAGTTTCGTTGCAGTTGAAAATATCATTAGGTGGAAACTGCTGAAGCAAAGACTGAAGCTTTCCAACCAGATATTCGGTGAAAACGGAATCGTCGATGCCGCCACTTTCCCCACATATCTTCTTTAACTTCAAGTCATTGCGGCTCTTGAAATTGCGGAGCCATCCATCGCTGAACTTGAAGTCTTTCATGCGCATCTGAAGCGCGAAAACCTCTGCCTGCTGGTTCAGGATGTCGCCTGACACCAGGATTTTCTTAGCAATCATGGCACTGAGGCACACAACGAGCGCTTCCTTGAGCTTTGGGTAAAGACCCTGGCTCGCATTCTTCTTTCCAGCCCCAGTTTATTTGGAAGCCACTTTCAAGATATTCGCCTTGTTTGTAATGAAGTCTGAAACATCATCATCATCATCAACATTAGCCTGACTACGTCCACTGCAGGACAAAGGCCTCTCCCATGTTCCGCCAGTTAACCCGGTCCTGTGCTTGCTGCTACCAATTTATACCCGCAAACTTCTTAATCTCATCTGCCCACCTAACCTTCTGTCTCCCCCTAACCCGCTTGCCTTCTCTGGGAATCCAGTCAGTTACCCTTAACAACCAGCGGTTATCCTGTCTACGCGCTACATGCCCGGCCCATGTCCATTTCTTCTTGATATCAGAAATGATATCCTTAACCCCCGTTTGTTCCCTAATCCACTCTGCTCTCTTCTTGTCTCTTAAGGTTACAACTACCATTCCAAATTCCAAACTCCCTCTTCACCTCTGCCTGCGACCAACTGCGTAGGACCTGTCTGATGACGGCGGCTTTCTTCTCCGTCATGAGCCTACGAGGGGGCTTTGTGCGCTTCGAAGGCGCGGACAAAGACGAAGAAGCAGTCAATGCCATCGCTGTAAGCCGCAAATTCGCTCTACGAAAAGCGCAGCACGGAACAGCTAGCTAAGACCTCGGTGGATGCTGAAGGTCTGGAAACGTGATCACTGAAGATAGCGTGCAGCATCAAATTATCAACCACAGACACGACCGCAGAGCCGACAAAACAACACGTGAACAAACACAGTGAAGTTTGGCTTGGCTGAGCCGCTAAGCTACAGCTGGCAACGAATTGACATGTGCGGTTTTGAGGCTACAGCAGCCGCGGCGCGGTGGTTGGCGGCGGTGCTGCTGGCCACACCTGGGATGTGAGTATGGCGAGTTCGGGGATATGAAATAACCAAAATGGTGGCGTCAGTGGTGACTTTGGGTCGGCGGTTAACAGTAGAAAGTCCAGGAAATCGGATGCCGAAGGCTATAAGCGTACGTAATTTCGGACTTTTTATTACATTGACTTTATAGGGAACCTGACGGTGCCACAGATGAGTCCGGGAAATGAAGCATGTCCGAAATTTTGGACATCCGAGAAATCGGACACCAACTGCACATTGATTTTGTAAACAAGAGGTTTGTAAACAAGAGGATTACAGACCTGGCGCAGGTCTGCAAACCTCTTGTTCAAATTGCAGTTTGATATGAACTTTTTCCAGTTATGACGCACTTTACCACTCTCTCACAAGGCCATGAACTGAACACAAGATATACCACTGAGGCAACCTGACCGCAAAAATTTGTAAATGAAAAGAAACTTTAAATCATGGAGTTTTACGTGCCAAAACCACACTACCATGGCAACTTTCCTTAAGCACTAATATCAAAGTGTTGCTTCACGCCTTCCTTTCCTCTACGTCTCCCCTTCCCAAAGGAGCGTTGTGCCCCTATAGGTGGCGGTTGTCAGCCTGTTCCTTCCCCATTTCCTCAGTGTCTTCGTGTTTTCTATGTATACAAACCAAATTAATAATAATAATAATAATAATAATAATAATAATAATAATAATAATAATAATAATAGGGCCCCAGGAATTCTCAAAAGCTGGCAGATGTCAGAATAGTCAGTGGTCAGATGTAGCACATCAAACAATACCTACCTGACATCCACTGCAACTTCGACTTGTAATCGGAGGCCGAGAGCTCGACAAACTTGTCATCAGTGGTAACAAGGAAACGATGACCTTTCCGAGTAGAGGAGTCACCGACTGGCTGCACAGAAAACAGGTTGCGATGTGTTGCTCCTGCCAAGAACAGTTCGGCAACAAGTGCGACAAAAATATGTGCCCGCCAAGCTTCATACTCTATTCAAATCAATGCAGGAGACGCGTTACAAACTGCTACTTAACTGCTGTTACAAAGTGTGAAACGTTAACATTGAGTGTCCCCAACCCTGATCAAAAGACTTCTTTCTATTATTTTTTTTGTCGTCATGCATGTGCAAACAGACACTCTTCTATTTTATTTTCAAACTTTGAAAGAATAAACGACCCAGCCAGTGCCTATGGGAGTCAGCTTTTATTATTTCAATCCTGAAGTCAGCATCGACCGAATAACCAACTTGGTCATCTCACATGTGCTTGACAACCATAACGGCCACACTTGTGGTTTTAACAGCAGCGGCGCTTGTCTTGGCAGTGAGTGGACCATTCCAAGTTCACTGAATGTACATCACTTCCCAACCCGATTCCTGTCTCTGACCTGTCCCAGAAAAGCTCTAGCACAAGAATGTCAACTCCCAATGAATTATTACTTAAGCCGATGCAACAGATGCCTACTTTCCTGGGGATAATTATACACAATACCCCAGTGCAGGCTACGTGCCCTTTTCTTTTTTCTTCTTTTCAGCCCATCATTCGCATTCACAAAATCTTTCAGTTGATCGCGGTTGATTATGACTGCGGCGCCAGACCGTACCTCTGCCCGTGTGCGAGATGTGATGCAAATCTCGCCACTCTTGCGGCTTCCTTCCTTGGTGCCAAAGTAGGTGAAACTGTGAGGGCGCAGCACAAAGTACATCTCCCACCACAGGCCCAAGGTGGACATTTTCTTTTTGAGCAGTCCCTATAAATTGGAGTCAAAGAAAAAGAAAACAGGAAAGCTTGGAGAAACATGCCTCTGCCCTAGCTGTAGAACACTTCTAGCTGTAGAAGGCTTTGCTTGTTCGTACAAGTAGCCTTCTAGAAGCATTTTCCTGCATGTTTGTTCACAGGTGCATATACCATATATAAAAATTTTTGGGTGTGGCAAGGAACCATGAAAACATGATTGTCTCACTAGAAAAGCAAAAAAAAAGAAAAGAACAAGGTAACGGTGTTCAAATGTCTGTTAGCATTAAAAATAAAGCGAATGAAAGTGCCTTTACCGAAGAGGCATTTATTTCGCGCTGCATGAAAATGTGGGCTTAAGCACTCTTGCTTGATATTGTTGCTACGTAGAAACGGCAAGACACAAGACTTTGTTGCGACGAGAATAATCAATGCTGTATTAAAACGCAAGGACACAAAATTAGACGTCCTAACGTCGTCTTCCTCGGAAAATTAGCAACCGCTGCTCCCTTCATTCTCCTCTGTTGTGCCGTGGACTATTCATCATGACAATAATGTCGAGGCGGTTGTTCGCCACTGTTCCACAAAGTAGCATGCTGCTGTAAATGAAGACCTTTTAGTATTTATTTTTGACATCAAAATGATGTATTTCTATGTTATTTTGCTCTGACCACTCTTTGAGAGGCATCATGGTCCCAGCTCTAGTGACCATGATGACGTGCCTATTCGGATTCAAAATAGCCAGCTGCGAGAACTAAAAAGATCACAGAGGCACCGTGGTGGCAGTCCTTACAGAAGTTTATTTTAATTATGATGCAGTACGTGTTAAAATATTTTTACACAGAATGAATAAAAATCTATCTGACCTTTCCTACACTGTTTTATGGTGTAAATGAAGCATTCAGCTTGACAGTGCTCTATTTTTGAGAGAAGTTTGTTGTACAGCAGGTAAAACAAACAGCCATTTTCGATTTAATGGGACACAAAAGCATGCAATTATCTGTTTCAAGGCAATTTTTGATGACTGCGCCGCCGATGTTGTAGTGTTAACGGAAACCTGGCTTACCCCTAATATTGCAAGTGTAGAGCTGTTCGATTGTGAAAATAATTATACCATTTACAGATGTGATAGAGAAGAATCGCCAGGAGGTGGTGTACTTATAGCCGTAGCTGATTATATAGTTTCTAGCCATATAGTAATAGCATCACCTTTAGAATTTGTCTGTGTTTCCCTCCATGTCAACTATCAAAATGTCATATTTTGTGGCTGTTACCGCCCTCCGAGTGCGACGCCAGAGTTTTGCGAGCAACTGCATGATGCTTTGAATGATATTGTCAAAAGGCACCCGCATACACCTGTTTTTATTCTAGGCGATTTTAACTACCCGAAAATAAACTGGTCACTTCCTTCCTGTTCATTAAGCTCACTTTCAGCCGACAGTTTACATTTCGTGGAACTGTGCGAAGACTTTAACCTTACCCAACTCGTAACGCAACCAACAAGAATGGGCCCCAATTCATCAAATGTTCTTGATCTGATTCTCACCACTGTACCTGACCTTGTCCATTCTATTTCATATATCACAGGAATAAGTGACCATTGTTTCGTGCACTTCAATCTAACAGGTTCTTTAAGGCGTCGGTCAAACAATTGCAAAACAATAAGAGACTACTCACGCGGCGATTATGACTCAATCAACAGTGAACTCGAATCGAATTTTGAGAGCTTTGCTGATGGCTTCTTTGATCGCAGCGTTCAACAAAACTGGAACTTGTTCAAAATGAAAGTTGAATCTTTAATCATGCGATACATTCCCACATACGTTATCAAGGGTCGCCAACGCCCCCCTTGGTTCTCAACTGACTTAAAAAAATTGCGGAATAAAAAGAAACGGTTGTTCCGTCAGGCAAAGCAGACTAATTCGTTAGCCCGTTGGCACGTGTACAAATCTGTCCTTTCCGAATACAGAGCAGCTATCAAGGAAGCCAAGCGCGTTTTTCTTAATGATACCCTTCCTTCAATTCTTGTAACCAACCCTTCTAAGTTTTGGAAAACTGTTAAACCTAGGGAAAAGATAAACATTTCGCTTACGAACTCAGATGGGCAGCCAGTTCGCTGTGAAGAGTGTTGCATTGCATTAAATGATTTTTTTGTTACTTCTCTTTCAAGTTGTTCTGCTTCTGCGTTGCCGCAAATGCCTAGTCGTGATTTTTTACCCATGTATCCTGTTACCGTTGATGCCGTTGGAGTGCAAAATTTAATTCACAAGCTTAAGTTATCCTCTTCTTGTGGCGTAGATGAAATCAACTCAAAGTTTCTAAAAAACACTGCATTGTATTCATCAATTTACTTGTCCTTAATCTTTTCGCAATCTATTCAGACCTCCACTTTGCCGCTTGACTGGAAGTTGGGGAAGGTGGTCCCTCTGCACAAATCTGGTAACACACAGTCTCCTCTCAATTACAGACCAATTTCCCTAACCAGTGTTCCTTGTAAAATGTTAGAACATATAATTTACTCCAACCTTGTCTCATTCCTAGAATCAAATTCTTTTTTTACTCCCTACCAGCACGGATTCCGAAAAAGTTACTCATGTGAAACCCAACTTCTTTATTTTACTAATGACATAGGATCGGCTTTAGATCGCGGCTCACTTGTGCATTGCATTTTTCTTGACTTTCAAAAAGCTTTCGATAAAGTACCTCACCAATTACTCCTCCTGAAAATTAGTGCCTTAAACATTGACCCGAACATTCTTAAATGGATTGAATGCTTTCTGACTAATCGCACTCAGTTTGTAACAACTAATGGCTATAACTCACCTCTTTCTAAAGTAACATCCGGCGTACCCCAAGGTTCCGTATTAGGCCCTTTGCTCTTTCTTATATATATTAATGATCTCCCAGACAGCATTAACTCCGCTATAAGGTTATTTGCAGATGATTGTGTAATTTACCGCGAAATAAACAATGAATATGATAACCAATTTCTACAGTCAGACCTTGACACTGTCTCAACCTGGTGCAATAAATGGCTTATGACTCTCAACTCTAACAAATCTAAATGCATGTCAATAACCCGGCGATCTATTTCTCCCCCCTGTACCTACAGAATTAACGCCGTTCCCCTCCAGCATGTCTTTTCATATAAGTACCTCGGCGTTTACATTACCAACAATCTATCTTGGCACACGCATGTTACCTACATCTGTAATAACGCTAACCGAACGCTAGGATACTTACGCCGCAACTTTTCTCGCGCTCCGCTGTCCCTCAAAATTCTATTATACCGATCACTAATTCGCCCAAAGCTTGAGTACGCGTCCGCTATATGGGATCCCGTGCAGCAAAATTTAATTAACACGTTAGAATCTGTTCAGAACCGCTCAGTTCGGTTCATTTGTTCTAATTATTCCCGTACTGCTAGCATATCAGAAATGAAATCTAACCTTGACCTACCCAATTTAACTGTCCGGAGGAAACTGGCGCGACTGCATTTTTTTCATAAGATATTTTTTCACAATCCATCAATGAAGCGAGACCTCATTTCACAACCGTCATACCACTCGTCGCGCATTGATCATCAGCATAAGGTTGCCATTCCGTTTTGCCGCACCAAATTCTTTTCAGCAGCCTTCTTACCGAAAACAGCCGCCGATTGGAACCACCTTCCCTCTTCCGTTGTATCAATAACAGAGCCTTTGTTATTCAAGACTGCAATTTCTCAGCAATGCTTGTAACTATACGCAGTTTCCACTATCTATCTTTGTCTTGTATGTGCTTGAATTCTTATACATTTTTAGTTGACTTATGTTGCCTTCCTGATTTGCGCATCTGATACTTGTTTCTTTATTTTGTCTTTTTTTCTTGTGTGTTATGTATGTTGTACCCACCCCCTCTGTAATGCCCTACGGGCCCTGAGGGTATTCTAATAAATAAATAAATAAATAAATAAATAAAAGTGTAGTTATATATTTAAAAAGTGCTTAGTGAGGAAAGTTATCATAAAGTTAGAAATGAACTGCCTGACAGCCTCTTAACTTCAAAATGTTGTAAATGTTACTGTTCAGTTTTAAATTTTATGTTCCTGTGGTCATTGCCCTTAGATACGAGAAATGCTGCCACATCTGACTAGTACTTGAAACATCTGCTGGCTATGCAATGTTCAACTACACTTAAGAAATTTGCTACCCCCAATGCATACCAGCCAAGTCTACAATAACACAAAGAGCTGGCAGAAAAACATGAAGGTAGCATCGGCTGAACTGCTATTGGAGGATGCTGATAACAGTGAGAGGGACTGAAGCAACGCAGCACATGCAAAGGCTAGGTTTCAGTGCGATTCTTCACCTTTTTGATGACGTCTCCCACGTAGATGTCGTACACCTCTGCACAAGCTTCAACAAGGCCACACGATTCAGACGATGCCGTGTAACGAGTTTCGAGAAATGCCAAGAAAGACTGGAAGTGGAAAACGGGCAGCAGAGTGGCCAGCTGACGAAAATCCTGAGAGTCCCATTCTTTTCCTAAGGCCTTCACGAACGTACTTGTCACCTGAAAAGATTGAAGCAATGATTTGCTTATCATGCCCTGCCACACCCACTCTATACACACATGCACACACACACGCACTGCAACCAACAACATTCAGTCACTGCCATTATCTGTCTACATGCACGTGTACAACTTACAACATGCATGTCTACATAGTGTATCTATATTGTTTCGATACTTACGCAAGGTGCCTAGGCTTGTGTTAGCATGCCATGTACCTATAGTCAGTGCTGCACACTGTACAACTGTAACACAATGGGCCGGGCTTAGTCAGGCTGCTGTAAGGCAGCTCTTTCCAGCAACCCTCTTTCTCCTTGCCGAGACGAAATGAAGCTTGGTTTGATTCGTTCTCGGCAGTTGCAGCACATAATGTGATCTTGTCCATAGCACCACAATGGGAACACTCTAGACAGCTTGTCAGCTCTCTTGCAGTGTCACTTTCAGTGCACCATAATTTTTCTTTGTTTCCTTTGTCAAAAAATTACGGAACTACAACAGGGCTGCACAAAATACCGTGGCTACTGTCAGAACAAAGGGCCCATTTGGCAATATTTATAGACAGATATGATGTCTTGCATGATTCATGCAGTGCTAAAAACGAAGACGTGTAACGGATTGTACAGGATGAGCATAATCTGTTTGCGATTTTGGTCAATTCAATCTGTTTTACTTTTTAGTCTTTAGCGCTGCATCAATCATGCAAGTACATATATCAACCAGAATGCACAAGCTCGTTGTTCATTTTGTACTTATAATCAAGGCACATCTTTTATCAACCCTTTGGTTACATTGAAAACATGGAACTACGTAAAAACATATCTGAGTGCACATGAACTGCCGCATGCAGCAACAGACAGTTTATGCACATAAGCACATTAAAAGGCTATCATATATGCTAACATTTAGGTATGGATGACGCATGTGCTGACATTTGTCTGGCCTTAAGAGAACAGAACCTACATAGGAAGGGAGCACTTTTATTACACGCTACTAACAGCAGAATGAATATTGATGAATGAACAAATTACAAAACATTATCCATGGTCAACACCCTTTGGCATACTTGCTGCTGAATATACAGCACCTTTAAAAAGCAGCAAATGGGGCAGCAGTGCCACGTAACGTTGCAAAACTAACCTCTTCAACTTCTTCCGCGACCATGATGACCTCTGTCATGTCCTTCTGAGATGTCCGCAGCTCTCCCAAAAAGCAGAACACTCGAAACAGCTGTGCAACGCATTTCTCGGGAAATGCGACAAACTCCCGATCAAGGTATTTCTTTTTGCAGACGAGCCAGCACACTTCTTCAATGTGATCCCTGTATCTAGAAGATATTCGAGAAAAGCTTAAGCACAAAAAACAGCACCACTTACTTTGATAATATAAGGCAACTAAAATAAGCAAAGGCTATGGAACAATGTTTGCGATTCTCAGACTTGAATTTCATCCCAACATTTAGAAATTAGACACAGGGCAGAACCATAATACAAATACGAGGCTTGCCATAATGGGGGAGCTTTGGATAAAATTTGCCAACCTGGGGCTTTATAACCTTCACTTCTAAAGTTATTTCTAAGTACACCTTCTTACATTTCAGTCTCTAAAATGCGGCTGCCGTGACCAGGAACCAAACATATGACCATTTGGTCTCTAAATGCACAAGCATCGCATGAACATTTTCAATGGATAACCTGGTTTCGACCTGCCCTGCATCGGGAATAGGTAGCTCCACAACAGAACTCACTTTTTAATAGTCTTGAGGTCAATAGTGCTGGGGAGACCTTGGAAAAGCTCCTTCAGTAGGTACACCATGTATTGTTCAAACTGTAGTTCTTGCGTACTGCAGTATTCTTCCAGAGCAGCCTCTGCCCTCGTGTAACCGAGGACTGTTCCTAAACTTGACGTGAACACCTGATTTCGAAAAGCAGGCAAAAAAAGAAAAGGGGGGGGGGGGGGGGGGCAAAAGATTGCTTACTTTCAAAAGTGTAACACATTTGTAGTCGTAAAATAAACAAGAAAAACGACAGTGAAAAGCTTGTTCCCAATGAATTCATAATAATCCATTCTTATGTCAGCTTCAAGTAACATGTATGGCAGTGATGGAAGTGAATTTTTACTTTTTGGAACACACTTTGGAGCAGGGAAAGTACTGTTTTGGAGCAGCCATAAGTGTTTTCAGAGCAGAAAAAATGTTAGTTTAGAGCAGCTATTGGTGCTTCAGGAGCAGATACAAAATTTGCCATACGCCAATTGGAGTTGCAAGCAATGTCGAAGCATCTTGCAAGTTATATTTACCCCGAAATATATTTCACAGAGAGCAATCAATGTAAATTTCAAAAAGCAAACAATTAAAGAGATGGATGGTTGTCAAAACTGGGTTGTAGAATGAGCTATATATTTAAAATACTAGTGTTTGTAGCAGAAATAAAATCAAATCAGTAAGGGTGAGCACCACATTTCAAAAGTAACCAGAGTCCCACATAACTGTTGCCAAATCAAGTAGATAATTGGTGTGAAATGAAGGCAATCCAGCTCATTTTCACATTTCACCACCGTAGCCAACAAAAAGCCTGCAAAATGAGCTATATGCTTAAATGGCAGACCTTGTCACATATATGAGATCAGAGTCGATAATGCTACACACTATGTAGTAGCATACTGAAATGCTGGTATACAGATTCTTTTCAGTTTCTTTAGGAGTTATAAGCTGGTCAAATAGTATAAGTTTGTCATTCTCATTCTCTCAGTGCCATTTCTGAGCAGGATTGGAGCAATTACTAACAAACAAAAATTGCAGTTTGGAGCAACATGGAGCATCAACACATTTGCACAGCGCAAGACTACGAGTAGTTACGGCGTAACTACAGAAGAAGAAACAAGGACAGAAAGAGCGCTGACTTCAACTGGAATTTTATTAGCGATAACGCTGAAAATATATACTCATGACAGAACATCACCGCGCAACCTATTGCATCACAGCAAGACAATCATCATCTCATTATATAGTTACGATGCCACAGCTCAGCACAAATTCACGATCTATTGTGTCGAAGCCAGAAACTCGATTTCTTTTTAAGTCAGAGCAAGCGAAGGCATGCTGATACATCGATCACGTAGTATTTGGATTTCATTGGCCTCCATAATTTCTCCTGTTAGCTGGTGACTGTGTTTGGCTACAACAGTGCACTTTTCGAATTCCGGTCTGCAACCACAATCTCTGCGATGAATGCCCAAATGACCTTGCACAGCTGAGTATACATTGTAATGATGCTCCTTTGTTCTGTCACGAGTATATATTTCCAGCGTTTTCACTCATAAAATTTCAGTTGAAGTCAGTGCTCTTTATGTGTTTGTCTCTTCTTCTGTAGTTACGCTGTAACTACTCGTAGTCTTGCGCTGTGCAAATATGTTGATTCCCAATCACCAACTAGCCCAAGCATCTGTCTTATCATGGAGCATCAGTTCTCTTTCGGAGTAGTTTGGAGCAATTGCAGCAGCACTTCCATCATAGGTATCACAAGGATGAGTGACGTCGAGACATGAATTATGCTGCGCGCATGAAATCACAGCGTGAATAGCATAAAGGAGACAATATGCAGTCGTGCCCAACGCCAGTTGCAACATGCTACCCAGTCTCAAATTGACCAGTGTAGCTATGCAGTCTTGCTGGTCTTTCATGCTTCTTGGGTATGGACGCAAAAAGACAGTGTATTTACTTTCTTCCCTTCGTCCTTGTCATGCTGCACCCTTATACAATAAGCCGGGCTCAAAGCAGTGCCACGTCCCGCATGGGGAGGCCGACATACAAAACAATCAGTGACGTAACACTCTTTTGACTACAGGTATCTGCAAGACAAATTTCACGTTTTCCGGTGTTACAGCACAAGCTTGGAGCCCTTTCAACAATAATCATCATGTTGCCACTCCTACTGAGCACCACAGAACATCATGAATCTGTTGTTTCATGAGCTTGGCATACATAGAATACACACAGCATAACATGTACAAGATGCAATCCTGGCCACTACTTTAAATGGTATACCAGAACACATAAACGAGATGGTGCACAAATGCACGTATCCCCTTTACCCACTTATACAAGCACAGGCTAGTGTTGTCTGACTGCTAGCGCCGCAAAACTTTTTTCTCATTCATAGTGATTGCCTGAGCTTCCAGTATCAAAATTCGCTGCAACGACAAAACTGCTAAAGGAAATGAGCTTGCGCGATGGAATGCCTTCCTCTGAATCTAAGCAAGAGCTACCAGTGAAACTTTTTCTAACGCCTCAACTTCCTTTTCGTGGCATCATACGTCATGCCTGTCAGACTAGCCAGCCGTGATTCAATACAGATTGCCGCACGTACACCCATCCTTTTATTTTTTTATTTCCTAACTTTATGAAGCAAAAGAATGTGCATCCGCTTGCCAGTGTCGACACAGCAGCACGTCATCACGGCTGGTGCCATGAGCCAAGGCTACCAATAAATGGCAAAATTTGTGTAGCATCAGCCTCAAAGTTGTAAGTTCGCTGCACCCAGAATAAAAGAAGAGAATTTCAAGGGATAGTTTCTTTGTTTGACACAAAATTAATGAAAACCAGCTAATAACATGGCTAAGGAATGTATAGTGGAAATTAATTCTACTATTTCAAGTGTATTGCAGTAAATGCGATATACGAGATGTGAAAAAAGCGAACTGGACGTAAAGACAACTTGATGCCAGTGGGAACTGATCCAAAGGTTGCCGGTTTCGGTGCATGCAACCTTCGGATCAGCCCCTTGTGGAAGGATCGGTTCCTGCATCCACAGATTACAGATTTAGTCACCGCCAGCAGTAAGCTGTCTTTGCGACCAGCTCACCTTCTTCACATCTACATTACAATTACTACAATGCACTGAGAACAGTACAATTATTGTTCCTTGTACTTTCCGTGGTTTCATTATCGACTAAATTTTATTGTAACGCAAGTGGAATAGTTCAATAATCTCTTATGTGACGCTGCTGTTGTGAACGCCTGCACCGAAGCACAATCTCTAAAGCTTGACAAAACTTAATTAAGAAACAAAAGTGCGCAATCCGTTAGACGCGCACATGAACGCGTGTTTCACGAGTTTAAAAATTGCAAGCACAGTGCCGAATCTGAATTCGCAACGTACGCAATGATCAGCACCCGAGTTATATCTGCAGCACAGTGATCAATCAAAAAAAGGAACCGAAACGCGCATCGAATGTAGCAACCTATTTACAGCTCTAAACTAGGTTCAATGGCATGCTCACGTACACGTTCCTCGAAACATGAGCGCACAGACGGTTTAACACGACTCGCGCCCAAACACTTATCGAACGATGCTCGCGCAGTACACTGCGATCCATCACCGCTGACAAAGCAAAATACAGTCGTACGTGAGTCGACACGAAGTCCTCGTTCTGTGACACAGTTGCCCGCGACCTGTGGGCATTACGAGACTTCCGCGACGAACTAACGCGCGTCGCTGCGCATTGCGGTAGCCCGAACTTTAGAAAAGCGAGAGCACACGCCGTGAAGAACGCCCCGCGTCAACCAACGCATCTCGCGCCGGTTTAAACTGGGGCAAATGAAAGCAGTGCGAGAAGAAATCTCGTAGGCAGCGCGCGCGGCCCGCGCCGCGATTTGTATCGCACTCACGGACGGTCTTGTTCTAATCAATTCCATCTTCCTTGATTCAATGTCGCCTACACGGGGAGAGTGGAACGAGCGAAGACCAGCGGTCCCCCAGCCGCTGCCGTTGTATTCCTATCAAGGAGTGACATCAGCGACATCGAGCCGGACAGCGCGTGTGGCAACCCGACATCCGCCACCCAGAGGCATTCAGTGTTTTTTTTTTTTTTCATCGCTGTCAATGAAGCAAATCCGGAGCAAACTCGCGGTGCGTGGAAGCATCTAACGGTCCGACAGGGTTCACTGGACAACGCGCGCTGACGCCGAGTTCGGTACGAAGAGAGGCACATGCACGGGTCACGAGAATTTCGGGTTCTTCCGCACGATCAGGGCCTCCTCTGATATTTCGGAGGCGCTGGCACGATACGACGAGAGCGCGACAAAAAGGCACGCTGTGGGCGTCTTTCGCTCGGGTTTTTTGTGAGTCACGGACACTACGTATATTACTTCGGCGCTGTTCGATATAATTGCCTACCTTGAGGCGAGACTTGGCCGCTTTGCCCGAGTTGCCATCGCCGAGGGTGTCGAAAGCGTGCCATATAGCGTTGGTCACGTCCGCTTCCAGTTGACCCATGCTGCCGTTGCTGTCAACGGCACTCGGCTTCGCCATAATCTGAAAACGCACGCATTCAGCTGCGGGAGTGGGTGACAGGCGGCGACCACGGCTGCGGCGCTCCACGCGACTCTGGCACCACCTGTTGAGTGGCCGACGATGGCGTAAAACATGGCGACCATGACGTAGTATCAGCCCTCAAATTTGAATTGAGCGTTTGCCTTTGAGGTTTATCGCTGATTAACGACGCCCATGGCATGATATTGGACAGGCGAAAGGTCACTAGTTCTGTAAATTTGTGTACCCGCTGCCTGCTGCTTCAGCTGCTACCACACACTAGAGGACGCTTAACTAAAATAATTTGGCGCTCAATTCAAATTTCTCTCGAGTGCTCTCGAGTGTGGCAGCTTGGGCTAGTTGGTCGAGTGCATGGCCGCTGGGTAAAAAAGCCCACCATGGCCGTGACTGTGGCATGCGACACGGTAGCATAATATTCCGGAAATAGAGAAGCGAGTTGTGTATGGCGGGTAAGCTGCAAACTGATGCCATTTGCTCTAGAAATGAAAGATAATAAACAGCGTACTCATGCAAAAAAACAACTGAAGCATAACAAATGTACGAACTTCTTATTCACATATGCTACTGCACGCAGTGGCAAATCCAGAGGGGGAGAGGGTGCGATCGGCCTCCCTTTTCAAAAGGCTGTGTCAGCACCTCCCCCCTCCCCCACCCGTCACTTTAGTGTTTGCAGTTTACCTCCTATCCAGTGATGTTCCGTGCAGGGAATTTTCCCTCTTTCGGGGAATTTTCACCAGCCATTTTGAGCCAAAGAAAAAAAAGGAATCTTCGTGATGTTGCAGGTGATTTCAGGAATGGTTAAATTCTCCTTTGAAGACCGATAATTAGCGGTCACGGTGCGCCTTCACCTGCTTTAATCGGTTCTGACGCATGCACCCCGCAAGCATATGCCCTTTCAGATTTGTTTCTGATATTTACGCGCAGTGATTTCTAGTTCACTAGTAGTGTTAGACTTGAAGCCCACAATATGCAGTGTACTAACCGTATGTAAATGAATAAAGCCATGCTTTTGTTGCGTGGCAGTGGAGGGGCTCGTCATGATTTCAAACGTCGCCAGTACGCGAGACACGTGTAATTATAGTATGTGCGTGCGTCGATGGGCGCGGAAATTATTACTGTTGTGCAAAGAATTCTGCTGAGAATTTCCTCAAATTTTGCTAAGAAAAATCCCCGAAACAGGGAATTTCGATGTCTCTGAATGGGAATTCTTCGGCGTAGTACGGAACATAGCTGCTCCTATCACCAATGAAGACAAATGATGCTCCACTGCGATGCTCCACTGCGAGCATCCATTAACAGTCTTGATGCTATGAAGCGGTTGTTCTGCTAGTAGAAACAAAAAATAATGACCACGCCCCTCTCTCTGGTGTTACTTAAATTACCCCCCCCCCCCCCCCCCCCCTGAAATGAGTGGATGAATCCACCCCTGACTATACAGGTTACAAATGCGGATAGCGGCTGCGAGTACAGGTTGTGGATATGTTGAACATTTTAACATCTGAACGCTGTTAGTAACGAATAGAAACCATTATCACTATGAACCGACACGCACTCTCTACATCCTCTTCGTCTTCGTCTTCGCCCCTAGAAAATGCGCTCTGATTAGTAATGTGTAGAATGCTATAAATCTGATGAGCGAGAGAACGAATACCGAAAGAAAGAGAAACGAGAGAGAAGATAAAACACAAAAAAAGTGTGAAGACATAAAAGAGGAAGCAATAGGCAGAGAGAGAAGGAAAGAAATTATATAGCTACAGACAACGAACACGGGAGAAAAAATAGAGACAAGGAGAAAGATGGAGAAAAAAAAAGGAAAAACAGGGACGGCCACCCAGGACTGCAATTCCTTCAGGCTTAGCCCCACTATTGTTGAGCTGCCTTATGCACCAGACAGCTTACTCGCGTCTATTGTGGAGTTGATAAAGCTGTTACGTTTAATCCCTCCTTCCGCCACTAAAGGCAGCCCACTGCAACAAGCGTCCTTGCCGAGTACGGGGTGGTTTTTTGACAACCTAAGAATAAATATAAGCTGCACCCACGAGGCTGCATTGCCCTTATTTTGCATGCGTCTGTGCTACAAAGAATGTAGTTACCAAACAATGACAAGCATTTTCACGCAAAAGATTATTATTTAGCAATACTTCATTGATATTGAAATGAAGACACCAAAGCTTGATAAAGAAACTTGGGAAGGCACGGAGTTAAGCGTCAGATTAGCGATATACCTGTTTAAATCGCAACTCCCATTCCGCTCATCTTGGAGTCCACGAAGAAGCAATATACACCTATATTGAAGGTGACGTTTCTGCGTGGTACCTGATGCCAGATTTAGCGTAATGTTCAAAATAAAAGAATCATTCTTTTGTGGTTTCGCAAAATGAGACAGGGGCAATAATCACATTTCATAAAGTGGTTTGCATTTTTTGTTTTACTAAACTTTTGCTGCCAGGTTTTTTCGCTGTCTTCTGTAACTATGGCAACTATGACTCAAGTGAAAGATGGAGAAGTGATCCTAGCATAGAGTAACAGACCCTACAGGAAAATCGGCCCTATGGCTCATGCATTAAAACATATGGTGTTTTTTAGGTGTTCTGTTTGTACTCATATTGTACTCCCTCTCTGTTATGACCCTCAAGCGAGGGTTGACAGTATTATTAAATAAATTAATTAATATATAACCACTCGGGTGCCGCCATGATGGAACGATAATCAGCTTTCGGGTGATGTACGCTCGCAATCGCGACTGCATGCTGCAATAACCCTTGGCATTTTTTAGCGTTTCGTGGACCTCTGTTGCATCGCAGAAGCAAGAACGCAGCCGCCATCTTACGGTGGGTACGGATTCACTTCTGGGCAATACTTTCTACTCCAGAATGTTTTTTTTTTTAACCTCCTTGGTTGCAGACAAGTTGGAGAGCTATTTTTCGGTACGGATGAATGCTATGAACGACACCGGCGCTTGAGGTAAGCTCGCCACCCAGGAACGTTTGTCGTTCACAAGATCGCACGGACTTCTATTATAAACGCGCAGAATGAGAGAAACGCTTAAAACGACGCGTTGAAGAAACTAATCGTGGTGACAAGGTCCAGATGCGTTACTGCACTTTACCGAGAATGATGAGAGGTCTGTGGCAGGTATAAGAGGCGTGTTTATTAAGGAGCTCAAAGCGTCTAAAAGACACCATGACGCATTATATAGCGTGTCTGGCATCTGTTGCCGTAGACTCAAAGGTCATGGATTCGACTCCCGATGACGAAACTTTTGTCTTCTGATCGTGCGTATTTTTTTTACCTTACTTCCGTGACTGAAATATCTCATTAAAGTATTGGTGTGCCCCGGCATAAAACACTTTCGTGTTAAAAAGCCCACGGTTAGGCCATACGTGCACAACGTTGATCACAACCTTAAGAACGTGGCTAACCGGTATACAAGGTGCCTTTGTTGTTCTCAGCGTCCCTTAAAGCCTGTGCCCACAAATTCTGCAACGACCCCCACCCTCTTAGTCGGAAGAGGCACGCAAGGCCGCATGTCACCTGCTCGGTTGGGGTGGAGTATGAGAACCCGCATAGTTGCGGTATAGGTATACATCGGCCAAACAGGCCGGTGCACAAACGACAGAATTAATTGAGGAGCATAAACTGTCCATGAAAAATGAACTTTCGGCACATTTGCCTGTACATTGTGTTTCCTGCACGTGTGTGCCTATGTTTTCCAGCATATGCATCCGTGGGAATAATGATACCGCAGTGCGTGAAATTATGGAATCATGCTGCATTAAAAAGAAGGGAGGTACGTGTGCTAGTGAAACATGCGTTGCTCTGCAATGTAGTGAATTTATTTTTTTTATTTTTTTATTTAGTGGATTTTTTTATTTTTCTTGTTGTCAATCTTATCGCGTTTTTTTTTTCTCTTTTTTTGTCTTGCATGCGAGGCGACGTGCGTGGGCATGGTTGCCACGGTTATATATTTCGCTAATTTCCGAGAATAAAGTCAATTGGGAGTGACGCCCTTCCTGTTGCGTCCTCAAATTTTCCTCATCGATGGTATACGCGCATTTATGTATTTCAGTAAGCATGTACCAAGTAGCCCAACAAAAACCACCAGGCCTGCGCGAAACGCGCAGCACAGTCACAGCGAAAGCTGGAACAGCGGCCTTACAGAGCCTTTTCTAAACACTGTTTAGGTAACTGCTGTCATTAGCTGAGTACCCACCACGCCATAAATAATCATAATTTTTGTGCAGTAGGCCAGCATGTCACTATACGCTATCCTTCGTCATTCTTCGGAGAAGTTTGGTATTCCCAGCGCGAAATTCCCAGCAAGTGTGTAGCGGATACCACACTTCTCCGAAGAAAGACGAAGGATATAGCGTAACGGTATGCTGGCCTACTACACAAAAATTATGATTATTTATGGCGTAGTGGGTACCCAGCAAATGACAGAAGTTAACCAAAGAGTGTTTAGTCGCTACGCACTTGCTGGGAATTCTATACCATTTTTTTATGAAGTGGCTGACGACGATGAAGAATGATGCCTGAAGTGGGTATGCATGCGCACTAGTTAATATAGGCGATCAAGAACAAGTTTTCTAATCGTTTGAAGCATTGAATGACCCACTCGTTACGCAATCAGCATTGTGTGACGCCTGCATGGTTGTTCATTTGATGTTCTAAAACGCAATTCCTTTCCCGACATCACGCCCGCATGCCCAAGTATTCTACCACCTGCGTGGCTCAGTGGTAGAATACTGGGCCACTGGCAGCAGTGAACCCTGGTTTGAATTCCATTGTGTCCTTGGTATTTTTTTCATAGGGTTCTTTTTCTTATTTCTTGCGATGCTGGTTACGGACACCAGCGGCGGACAGCTACGTTGCTGCACGTGACCCGTTGTCTTTCGCTGTAAAAGTTTTATTAACAACATGGTCACATTCCCTGCGCATGTTTCGCATAACGGTGATTCTCAATGTACGTGAGATCTGTCGGGTATTTCTATTAAAAACGACTAACCTTTCGAAAGAGCTGAAATGCTAGCTTTTTGAAACCAATTTATAGCACGCCAATGCCAGCATATCGAGGGCACGAACATACCAGCCTCATGAAAGCAAGGCATTCGTTAAAAAGTTATTTTTAAGTCACGATCATACAACCTATCGGTGTCTTGTAGTCTTATATGGTACTCTTCCTTACGCCAAAATTGAAAGAGCTGAAATGCTAGCTTTCTGAGGCCAATTTTGTAGCACGCCAGTACACATGAGCACGAACATGCCAGCATATCACACCCTCATGAAAGCAACTGAGGCGATCGTAAAAAGTTATTTATAAGTTAAGATCATACAACCTATTGTTGTCTTGAAGTCAAACGATTTAACATAGTACTCTTCCCCGCGCAAACATAACGGAATAAGGTGAAAAGAGCAGTGTGAAAAAAGGCCCTCCCATTTTTTTCAAGGATGGCCTATCTCGACACCGATCTGCGCCTGGAGGTCGTCGCTGAAGGCCATGTGGGGTCCGCCTTGATATCCACGGTGGCAAAGGAAACAACGGAGGTCTTCCTGCATGGTTCCTCCAGTTCCTCCGCCTCCCATGCTCTGTTTGCCTCTTCGGCACCGTGGTGTTGAAAGGCGCTGACCCCATCGGATGATGGCGTGAACGGCCTTAATGCTTTCGGAGCATCTGCGAGTGGCCGAGAGTCTGTTATGGACAGGATACCACAGAAAGCGGCGAAGGACGTCACGCCCAGGAAAGTGCCGAACGTCATTCCGTTCGAGCGCGCCAACAGCGAGCCACCGAGTGCCCCGAACTGACCAACGGCGTATGACGCGCAAAAGCCCATGCAACACGCCTGCGCGGGAAACACTTGGGCCGTGTGCAAGTAGACAGGGTACATAAGCAAGGTGATCAGGACCCGAAGCACCATGCCAGCGACGTCCATCTCGGTGGGGGCCGGGTTTATGAGGCTCCACACCGCACAGGCAGCACTCGTCAGGCACAACAGCACGCAAAGCGTGATGCGTAGTCCCATACGCCGCATGCTCCAATAGGTGACCGCGACCAGGGGTGCCAGCAGAGCCACGAACAGCTTGTACCCCGACGGTGTCGGGGCGACCGGCGACGTGCCGGCGCCTCGGAAGTTGATCCCATAGAAGCCGAAAAATGTGGTGAACCAGCACAGCTCGACGGGCAGCGCGGTAAAACGAAGCTTGCGGATGAACGCGTTGGGAGAGACCACGAATGTCGTGTCTCGACCCAGTTCCAGTCCATCGAAACTCTCGCGAATGTGGCGGAACGCGTCTGCCGCCCTTTCCGCGGACACTCCGTTGACCAAGGCGGCCAGGAGGACCACCTGCTGGGCTGCTCGCGTTCTCCAGTGGGCCAGCAGCCAGACGGGTGATTCTTCGATTAGGTACACGCAGGTGACGAGCAGCGACGTCGGCAGCATGAGCGCCATCTCCGTCATTCGCCAGTTGAGTCGGTACAGCTCGATCAGGTAGTAGACGAAGGGCAGGAGCAATGGGCCGCTGGTGGCGTATATGAGCACGAACAGGACCTGCCGTTCCTCGCGTGTCACCTCCAGGAGCAGGACCAGGGCAATCACCGTAATGCTGCTGGTGGCGGCCGACACGATGACACGCGAGGTCACAAAGAGACTGTACGAGCTGGCGCCAACGCACCCGAAGCCGGCGATCAGGAGAGCGATCACCCAGGCGTTGATGACGGGCTTGCGGCCCCAACGGTCTGCAGCCATACCGGAGACAGGCACACAGACCAGGGCTCCCGACATGTAAGCGGCCGACGCAAAAGGCAGCAACCAGGAACGGTCGCACACCAGGTCCCACTCGCTGACGATGCTGTCCTGCGGACTGGTCGTGTTGTAGTGCCAACCATTGCACGGGACCTGCGCGCAATACCAGCATCGGGAAAGAAGAATGAGAGAATCGGACACCAACAGACCATGATGTTCAGCGTCCCGAAGCGTGTCAATGCGCGACGAGAAATGCCGTATAGTGCCTGGAAGCATTCGCACGACTTTTGACTACATGAATTTCTGTAAGACTTAGCTGGTACAAATGAAATTACAGAAATTAAACTAATTATCCCTTTTGTAGTGCAATGTAATGAGTTTAAGCGAGTAACTTCAAGAAAATTAGATATGACTTCCCGAATTGCTTTTAAATGAAGCAGGTTCGCTTAACTTGTAGTGTTGATTGTACGAAAAGATAAAATAAAAACGGAACAAAGACCAGTTATCTAAGTACCAAGCCTCGAGAGTGTGAACAGTTAGGTAGGCCCTAGGAGAAACCACGTAGAATCTGAACTCGAAGCCTTGCAGAAGGAAGGAAGGAAAATAGAGGGAAAAGAAAGGCAAGGAGGTTAACCAGCCTATAGGCAGCCGGTTTGCTACCCTGCGCATGGGGGAGGGATGGGGGAGATGAAAGAGAGCAGAGAGGGAAGATAGAAACAGCACATTTGGCAGCACATGCGCGCACACTCAGTCATAGTCTAGTCTTGTCTTTCGCGGTGTGTGACATTGCTGTTACAGTCGCTTGTTCAAGTCGGTGTCGCGTAGGAATTTCAACAGAGCTTTCGTCGCCTTCTGTTACAACGTCCTCTCTCGAGCACTCCACAGAATAGTGTCCACAGACATTTGGCTGTTGTCGATGCGCGCAAAAGCAGATGCCAGTGACTGTCTCTGGATTTCATACAATGGACAGTCACACAGGATGTGGTGTAGCGTCTCTTCGCAATGACAGGCATCGCAGAGAGCGTTGTCGGCCATTCCTATGACAAAGGAGTAAGATTTTGTAAATGCCACTCCTAGCCATACGCGATGAAGTAGGGTGGCTTCTCTTCGGTCGAGTCCAGTGGGCATGCGGAGAGCCATCAAATAGGACAGGTGGTGTTGACGATTCGTATCGATGCTTGGTGGGCACCATAGTGAAAACGTGATTTCACGCGCAAGTCGTCGAAGATTACTGGCAGCATCAGTCCTCGAAAGTGGTATGGCTTCTTTTCGTATTCCTTCAAGGGCTGCCCGCGCGGCAGTATCGGCATGTTCGTTCCCTATGATGCCGCAATGACTTGGCAGCCATTGAAGCGTCACATGATGCCCTTTCTCGAGTAAAGTGTGGAGAAGGCATCGAATTTCGAAAACAAGCCGTTCGTTCGGGCCGCGACGCAGTGCTGAGAGCACAGATTGTAGGGCAGCCCTTGAGTCGCTGAAAATTGACCATTGTTGCGGTGGTTCCCGATTGACCACACAAAGTGCAGAGCGCAAAGCAGCTAGTTCCGCTGCTGTAGATGCCGTGGAGTGGTCAGTCCTAAAGCTGATGGTAACACCTCTTGCTGGGATAACTACTGCCCCTGACGAACACTGGTGGTTCGTGGAACCATCGGTGTATACATGTATGCTGTCTGAATATTTCTCGTGCAAAAGAAGAAGAGACAGTTGTTTCAGCACGGGTGACGAAAACTCAGATTTCCTCCGGATCCCTGGTACACTAAGATGCACTGTGGGTCGAATAAGACACCAAGGTGGTATGGATGGTTTAGATGCATGAGTGAAGCCCGAGGGAAGTTTATCGTTGTATTTCACGATAATTTTGGCGAACGATGCTTGGCGCCTCTCTGAAGGCAACAGTGCAAGGTGATGGCCGGGGGCACGTGCGAAGTGTCGGATGTGCGTTTTCAGGACTTCTACAACAATGTGAGTTTGTATCGAATAGTAACCAGCAATTGCAATTGTTGCTTCTGTTGACGTACATCTGGGCAGACCGAGGCACACTCTCAGGGCTTGGGCTTGTACTGCCTGTAAAACACGAACATTGGTCTTGCAGGTATTGCTAAGCACAGGCAAGCTATATCTGAGGAAACCGAGAAACAGGGCCCTGTAGAGCTCCATCATTGCGTCTACTGACATCCCCCACGTCTTTCCTGCCAGGAACTTGAACAGTTGAGAAATAGCGGTCAGGCGCTTCTTCATATAGGTCACATGCGGACTCCAACAGAGGTCCCTATCAATAATGATGCCCAGAAACCGGTGGGTTTTGGCGTAAGAAATCGGTCGCCCGCAGATTGAGATGACATAAGGGGTCATTGCTTTGCGAGTGAAAGCCACCAGCGCGCATTTTTCTGGTGATATGCTGAGACCTTGTTTGAACAAGTAGTTGGCAATTATAGTTGCTGCTTTTTGAAGCCGGGAACGTATCTGAGGACGTGTGACTGCCGATGTCCAGACACAGATGTCGTCTGCGTATATTGATATTTTAATGGTGCTTGGCAAGTATTCAGCAAGGCCAATTAGTGCAAGATTGAATAGCGTCGGGCTAAGAACTCCGCCTTGAGGAACACCCCTGGAAGTATAGCGTCGCGTAGTTGGGCCATCTTCTGTTAACACAAAGAATGATCTTGCAGCCAGGTAACTCGAAATCCACCGAAAGACTCGACCACCAAGGCCAACCACCGCAAGAGCACCCAAAATGGCTTCATGTAGTACATTATCATAAGCGCCTTTCACATCTAGAAACAAAGCTGCAGATAGTCGCTTACGGGATCTTTCGTGCTGAACGTACGAAACTAGATCAACGACATTGTCAATAAAAGAGCGGTCGCGTCGGAAACCAGCCATTGAATTCGGATAAATCTTGTAGTATTCAAGATACCACTCCAGGCGGCCTAGTATCATCCGTTCCATTATCTTCCCTACGCAGCTGGCCAGCGCTATTGGGCGGTATGAGGTTAGTTCGAGTGGGGATTTGCCCTGCTTCAAGATGGGTAACAAGCGGCTTACTTTCCAGTCATCAGGAACATTGCCATCCTGCCACGAGATGTTGTAGAAGCTCAACAGTTCTCTCCTTGCACCTTCCCCAAGGTTGCACAAGGCTCGGTACGGAATACCATCTGGGCCCGGAGAAGTTGAACGCCTGCAGAGAGCTAGTGCCGCCTCGAGCTCCTCCATTGTAAAAAGGAGGTCCATGTGGTAGTCACGGGAACGGGGGACGTCACCTCTCACTGGAAAATCTGGACGAGTGGCTTGGTTGGCGAACTGCGCACAGAAATCTTCTGCGACATCGATGTCTGGCCTCCTTTGAAATAGCGCGAGCGCTTTGAATGGAAAGCGCTGTTCCGTAGGGTGACGCAGACCTTGCACCGTTTTCCAAATGTGTGAGAGTGGCTTGCGAGGGTCTAGTGACTGGCAAAACGTTGTCCATCGTTCCGACGCTAATCTATCCATGCGACGCCGAATCTTCTTTTGCATCCTCCTGGCTGCCCTAAGATCGTGAATTGATTTTGTACGCCGATACCGACGCTCCGCCCGGCGTCGCAGTGCTCGGAGTCGCTCCAACTCTATATCAAAGTCGTTTCGTGTGGAAGATATCGTCACCGTGCGAGTGGCGTTTTGCATTGTGCTCTTAATTGTTTCCTCTAACCCAGATCGTAGGCCATCGGTGCAAGCATCTTCCATGTCAGATTTGAAGTTGGTCCATTGGACTGCTCGAATGGTCGTCCGTGGACTATAACTAGACAAGCCTTTGATGTTAAGGTAGATTGGAATGTGATCACTTCCTCGTGTCTCAACATCTGGAAACCACTTGACGTATCTCGCGAGGGAGTTGGAGACAAAAGCAAGGTCGAGACAGCTGCCGTATGTCACCCCTCGAAGAAAAGTGGGGCTGCCATCGTTCAGGACAGTAAGGCCATAGTTGTAGGCGATGTTTGCTAACCTGCGTCCTCTTGCATTTGTCCGCGTACTTCCCCATGCGTGATTGTGCGCATTGAAATCACCTATGAGGACCCATGGTGCAGGACACGCTCTCAAAATATCCGCTAATCTCCTGGAATCGAGATTACTTGACGGTGATATATAAACGCCTATGAGAGTAAACATGAGTTGGTTCTTTTTCACAGTGATGCAGACATACTGATTGTCATCGTGAGGTGCAATTGGTTGCACAACATACGTCAGTTCACGACGAACAAAGACGATGATTTTGCTGCACGCACCGTTCGTTGAAGACATGACAGCTTCGTACCCCGATAGTCTTATTGGTTTCAACAAATTGGGTTCACAAATGACGATAATTGGAAACACGTTGGTAAACACAAACTGACGAAAATCTGAAAGGCGTGATTTTAGTCCTCTGGCGTTCCATTGGATGACGGATGCAGCCTTGACTTCTTTAAGAAATGTTGAGGTGTGAGTAGCCATCTTCCTAGTTGAGAGATTCAAGCACTGGGCTTAGGGCGTCCAATAGTCCAAGTGCGCTTCGAGCAGATGGTGTCTTCATGTCGACTAATATCGCTCGGATGGCTTCTATAAGGGAACGCAGCACCGAGATCACTTGACGATCAGTTTTAGGCAAATCTTCCATGGTTGGAGACGGCTCTTGTGTGGCCACAACCTGCACAGGTTCCTTGGCAGAAGAGCGCGTCGGGAGCGTGGGCCATTCCTCCAGAGAAGGAGGCTTCTCTGTTTCTTTCGTAGAAGTGGTGGGCCCTTTCGCGGCGCTACTGGATGGAACCGCTACAGAGTGGGAAGGAGCGTCTCGGGAATGTGCCTTCTTTGAAGACTTTCGATGATGCCGACGTCGGACTACTTCGGCTGCCTCCCTTTGTGTTGAGTTGTCTCGGGCCATTTGTCTGAGAACCGCGCGCTCCTTTTGGATTCGAGGACAGTCTTTCGACGAGGCAGCATGAGGACCACTGCAGTTGGCGCACTTCAGAGTAGTCGCCCGACAGGCGTCTTCAGCATGAGATTCAGCGCAGCGGGGACACAGTCGTAAGTTGGGGCATACGCCCTTGACGTGTCCTAGCCTGAAGCACTGATGACATTGAAGTGGCTTTGGGATGAATGGTCGAACCGGATGTCGAAAATGTCCAACTTTAACGTGGGACGGTATGCAATCTCCCTTGAAAAACACTTTTACGCAGCGCGTATTTCCAAGGCGCCGCACTTGCGTAATGACAGTTCCCTCGTTTGCAGGCTTGATGAGGGTAGACAAGTCAGCATTAGGAATGGCAGTGTCGATGTCATAAATTACACCGGCAATTGATTGGTCATCCATCGGGATAAAGGGGCGCATTTTAATGCCACCTAGCTCAGTTATTTGCTGCAGCTGTCCTAGTGCACTCACATCGTGCACGTCTATGGCGAGAATGTTCTTCCTTGGGTTTACTCGTACGTCCTTAATTTGATGTGGCACCGCACATTCGAGAGCAACCGAAAGGGCTTGCCTGTTCAGGAGCCGTAGGTTGCTTGATGGATCTTCGGGCATGAAGATGATGACGTGCGGCCAGCGCGCAGGCCTTGAATGCACAGTCGCTGTGCTTGCAGGAGCTGATGCTGCTGTATTCGCCGTCCTTCTCTTTGCCCTCTTACCCCGGACAGGTATGAAGCTGCCATCGGATGTGTCGTCTTCCGACATAGAATAGAGATCGGTGTCCTCAGTGTCACTGGGAGAGCCCAGTGAAGTTGCAGAATGTTGCTATAAAAGCATGGAGCTTGAAACTCCAGACATAAGAGGTTAACGATGTCTATACACATTTCGCTGACAGTCGGACAGCTCAAAAACGAGATGAAGAAAGTTCAAAGGCACAACTGTGAACCCTGAAGGGGAAAATTCCAAATCCCAAATTTACCCGCCGACAACAAAAAATTCCGCCATATCCACGAAGTGAATGATGATGAGTGGGCGAAGCTCCGGAGGTAAACCTGGTAAACCATGAATCCTCTGTACATTTTGCCCACTCGATTTTATTACATCGCTCCCCCTAGCGTACGTCGCCGCACTAAATCGAACGATTGCCTTCAACCAATGACACGTGCCATATGTGACATCATTCCTATTTTATAAGATCTCGCGTCTTTCATCAACTACAAGTACCGCTTTCTAGTTTATAACATCTTGCATCTTTTCATCATCAGCTACAAGTACCACCATCTAGTAAACACTAAAAGAACTAAACGAGAGGTGGCTACATACAGGAGACGGTACCGCCATCTAGTGAACACTGCAAGAACTAAACTAGAGGTGGCTACATACAGGGGACGGTACCGCCATCTAGTGAACACTGCAAGAACTAAACTAGAGGTTGCTACATACAGGCTACAGGGGACGCACAGCCCACGCCCTAAGGAGCTTCGCCCCTAAAAAAGAGAGAGATTGAGAGAGAAACGTTTCGCGCAGGACAGTCCAAGAGAAAACAAGAAGATTGGTCTTTTTAGAGCCCGTTACAAACTCTCTTGGGGGAACTGATGCAGTTACAATTACATATGCAAGTTATCTAGTACGCCACAAGCCACAATTTTGCTTGAATTAGGGAAGCATCCACTAGGAGAGGCGCTGTATGGAGATATGCTACCAGACGTCAACGTTCAAGCATCTAAGTCAAACGATCTTACAGCTGCCAAACGCCAATAGACATCCTGCAAACTTCTACGCTTGTTCAGTATTAATACTTGGTTCACTTTCGTGTCATATACCGGTTCCAAAGATATAGAGATACATTCGGTGATTGCATACGGAGGTGAGCCACCCTGATCACCATCGCCCCATTTCCCTGTGAACGCATGAGCTAAAGGTAAAGAGAGGTCAAGAGCTTCGCTGTGCAAAAGAATAAGTACAGTAAGCTCATCGTGGTGGAAACCATCCGACAGTGAAGTTGGAAGTGGCGCGAGTGTATGTGATTATGCACAACACGTAGGTCAATGAACCTACATTCATTACCTAGCCGAGCGCCCCACTGATTTACTACAGCTAATCATGCACCACCACCATAATCATTTAGCATCACCATAAATAATCATCAGCTTTAATAATTCTTCTCGCCCCCTTGTCACGTGACCCACGTGACGAACACGACAATTTCTACTACTACGACGAAAGATAATAGACAGACGGCGTCGCTGCTAAAAGTTACCCCATCTCCCACTAAAGGGAACCATGCGTAGATTGGAAGCAGCGCACGCTAACGCGCACACTGGGTGGCGGCGCTAACGCTGGCACTCAACGCCGCAGGAGAGAAACCTGGGGAGTTGGATAGCACGCAGTGATGGACCGGTGTTTCCTACTGGAACATGCCAATCGCTGCTGATGGACAATGATACACAAAAGATTCCGATTGGGCACAGAAACCTACAGTCCACTTTTAACGCGCACGCTGCGGATTTTCATTCTTCAACGACGCACAGGAGAAATCTCCCACTGGCACTACCTTGTAGGTCAAGATCCAGAGCCTATTTCCACGGGGTGGTCAGTGAATGGTTGTGCAGTGCGTGCACTCGGTGTTTTAGGAGTTTGCTCTTTCGCCTGGTGGGTGGTCTCTCGTCGTTGCACCGGTGTGTACACTAGTGCTCATTCATCCCACTAGAAGCGCAGCTGTCTGTGTCCTCTCTCAGTGTGTGTATTTTTAGCGCTTGTTTCATCACGAACCTTTACCAACACGCCCAACTGGCAGTAATCCTAAAAGCGCAGCTGTGCTCCTCGTTTCAAGAGTGCTCACTAGACAGCGCGCCCCCGCTCAGGCGACGCTCGCGCCACCCTCGGCGCGTGCTCTAGTTTGGTAGGAGACCACTAGATGGCCGCGCCTATATATAGCGCTCGCTCTCGGCTTGCTTCCTTTCTCTTTTGCTGGACATTACTTGGTGAGTGTCTATACCGCTACTTACTAACCCCGCAAACGGCAAAGCGGTGTGGAGGGCTCCCGAGGCGGCTGCAGCGCGGGCTCACCATCAGGACCTTTCTCAAACTTTCCGCAACATCCTATAATCAAGGTCCTCTGGCTTTGTGCTTCACGGATCACAAAGCCATTATACTAAAAGGAAAACATTCCTCGAAGTGTATGTGACCCGTAAATGAGCTGTTTAACAAAATGTATATATAGCATCAGTATGTAAATATCTGTATATAGTACATTGGTATGTAAATAATAAACATTGTGTACCCCAACAACTCTCGTGTCACGTTTTTATATGATGATAATAGAGCATATTGTGACGCTTCACGTCGTGCCAACTGACCGCCGTTACCGCAGTACCGAAATTATACGCGTTTGTCTCATGAAGCTTTTCACACGACGCCTTGACTACCCGCTCGCAGCGGCCAGGCTGGCCGCTTCCACAGGGGAGGGGGGGGGATTAGTGTAGTTATCTATTATGCACTTCATCCTTATTTGGACAGCAGTCAATCATCATCACCTGTTCTGGCTGACAGTCATCATCGTCTTTGAACATGGGCTTCATCTTCGGGTCCGTTGCGCTTGTTCGCTCCCGAGTTCACGGCCAATAAACCTCGTCGCTACGGAGTCGTCATAATATGTACCGAGGATTCATTATTTACCGGATTTAACCTCTCGAGCAACATCCTTTATCATCATTCACTTTGTGGATATGCGGGAATTTTTTTCAATCAAGAAGCTCGCTAGCAGACGCCTCCTGCGTTGGCGTTGCGAGGCGAGAAAGGGATGGGGCCTAAGAGAAGGGGACGAGCGCGCTTGCACTGTAATGGTGGTACCACCACACACCGGATTCAGCTCTACCATAAGGCGCTTCGCATCTAGAACGCAGCACACCCACCTGAAATGGTAGATTGTAGACGGCGCACTGGCTCAAGCTGCCGTCGGGGAGCCGCGGTACGGAGGCGTTATTCCACGCGGCACTAGGTTCAACCAGGCCGTCGGGTGGTCGACACCAGTGGTCCACTGGTCGAGCGATGAGCCAGTACGAGAACGCGTGGCACAGCAGCACCAGCGTGGACATTACGCCAAACAGGAGCACGCGCCGCTGGAACGCACCATGACCAAGGAGGTCGTGCAGGCCGGTGATGACGCCTTGCACTTCGGTCATTGGGTCGGGCAGGAGACAGATGCCGCCCGAATGGCTCTGCTCGGTGGTGGTGCCTACTCCTCCGCCAGCAGTGGGAGCGAGACTCACGTTACTCATTATGCCGAGCGACTTGTGCGCGTCCACAGAGGTTCGATCGATCCAAGTGGGAACTCGACGAGACTTGAACGTGGCCGATGGCTTCCTTTGTTTTGTTTTGTTTCCCTGGGAGGTTGGCTCATACCCACTCAGGGGGATTGGCCAAGAAAGTGTAGTGCAGTTTTTCTGTAATCATTTTAACTATGTTTAATGAATTGGTATTATAATAAGACTAATGTAAAAATAAAAACAACATAAAAAGAGCAAACGAAAAAAAAATCAAGTTGAGCAATTTTGAGATCTGAAGTGCTTTGTTTACCACTTAGCTGCGTTTACTTCACTCTGCCCTTGGGAGTAATAAATATTTTTTTTGTTTTTGATTGAAGATCACAAAGGTATACGCTTGGTTGCCTGAATATAATCGCAAACGGCATTGAAAGCATCCCTGTGGCAATGTCCCAAAGCTGAGGCGCCAAAGCTTAGCGCCGTTTCCGCCGTCAATGTAAGGCCTATTTTCCGAAATGGCATAACTAGCAACCTTTTTCTAAGTATCTCGTAGCGGCGACAATACAAAAAATAATGATCTAGTGATTCCATTTCTCCACAGAATGCGCAGAGGGGTGATGTTGTCTGACCAGCTCTGTGTAGATATAGGTTTAGGGGTGGGACACGACATCGAAATTTAGTGATTAAGACTTCGATCTTTCTGGACTGACTCCAGTGGGGTTGCCATGGAAACATGAGGTGGTTATAGTCTGTCCATGTAATTACTTTTTCTATCGTATCAGTGGAGATTGCCGATTTTCGATATCTTATAGCCGTGATATATTCTACATCTGGCAGTATGGACAAAACTGGCCCATCAAGTGCGGCTCGTGCTAAGGAATCGGCCAATTCATTTAATCTTAATCCACAGTGACCCGGAACCCATAGTAATCTCAGGAGTCTCAACTGCGGCGGTACTAATGTTTTGAATGTGCTTAGAATTCGAGAGTTCTCTGAAGCTGTCAGAGCTGCACAAACTGAAAGAGAATCCGTCATTATTACTGCATTGTTTTGATTTGATGGAAGTTTTCGAAGAGCTAAAATAATCGCCAAGAGCTCCGCTTCAAAAACTGGAGTAAAATCAGGCAGTCTCACTGAAAAGGACCAGTCAAGCAAATCAGAGGCAATGCCTACACCTGCCTTTTGATTATTTACGGAAGCATCTGTGGCTATTATATTTTTAGTTTTTGCATGCTCCAAGTAATCTAATAATATGCTATTTAAAAATTTGAGGGATTGTAATTTGGCGTTTTGCGGGAATATATCATCATACTCAATAATAACATGACAATTCGAGTCATTAGTCTCAATTACATTTCTAATGTTCACATTTATACTTTGTAGATTTTTTTGTACAAACATTATCTGAGGTGTGTGAAACCGGGGCCAATGAGCAAGAAAGAAGGCGTCTGGGTTTGCGATAAAAGCATATTGAGATCTTCTTGCCGGTAAGCTATAAAATTTTAAAAATGCTTGTACGGTCAAAATTCGAAATCGACAAAGCAGTGTAGGCAGGCGCGCTTCCTGGTACAGTACGTTGATAGCCACAAATCTAGGGAGTCCCAGACACATTCGCAGTGCTTCTCGCTCCAAGACAACTAGAGGTTTCGTTTTATAAGCAGGGCCACCCGAGAATAATATGCAGCCGAATTCCATGATGGGGCGCATGTACATCTTGTACAACGTTATCAAGGTGTGCCTCCGTAACCCATATTTCCGGTTACTTAGCTTGTGTAGTAAGCCTGAAGCCCGCTGTGCTTTGGTAGCTATATACTCTATGTGTGGACTCCAGTTAAGTTTGTCATTATAAATGATTCCCAAATATTTTATAGAGTCTACTTGCTGGATGGGTTCCTGTTTATATAGAATTGAAATAGAAATTGGTTCTGCAAGCGGAAACGCCATGAGCGCGCTTTTGTTGACATTTAACGATGACGAAATCGACTGCAACCAAATTTCCAACATGTTAATATATCTTTGTAATTTAAGTTGTAATGAGTAAATACCACAGTCAGCAGCAAAGAGTGCGATGTCATCAGCATAAATGTAGACAGTAACTTCTTGATCTGTTGGAATTGTGCTCATTAAAGCATTAAATAATATTGGAGATAAGACTGCTCCTTGGGGAACTCCGCGCGTTTGTTTAAATCTAGATGAGGAACCTCCATCCTTGACGCAGTAGAATTCTCTTGATTTTAAGAATTCTGCCACCCACTCAATAAAATATTGTGGGAAGTTCAATCTCTCTAGCGTATTTAACAATATGAAGTGCTCCACACTGTCATACGCCTGGGCTATGTCAAGCGTTACTAAAGCAGCGTATTGCCTTCTTTTACGCGCGAGCTGTATTCGGCTCTCTAAATCAGCATGGGCACACCAAATTGAGAAATCACTACGAAAGCCGATTTGGTTCGGTTTTATTACTAAACTGTCTGCCATCCAGATACTTACTCGGCTATGTAGGACCCTCTCTACTAGTTTGACCATGTTAGATGTTAAAGAGATTGGTCTGATATTATCGACTGTTAATCCTTCACCCGGCTTTTTTAGTATAGGAATCACCTTTGCTATCCTCCAATCCTGCGGCACCCATGAGTTTTTTAAGGAGTAGTTAATAACATTGGCGACGTCTCGAGGCGATAAATTGAACAGAATTTTAATCATGGGTACTGTGATTCCATCTGGGCCAGGAGATGCACAGGGTAAATGTTTAATCACGTTGGATACTTCAGTCTCTGTCACTTCTTCAAAATCAGACTTTGTCGTAGACTTGTGCCAGTTGTTTGGCACTACTGAAGTGAATCTGCTTTCGAGACCTTTACCGATAGCCTCTAAGGTAGTGGTCATTTCTTGTGCCAACAGATTATCACAAGCTACATTAACTGGTGATGGCAAGATTTTCCGAGCTCTCATATATCGGAACAGTGCTTTCATATGTTTAGGCTTCGACAGGTATTCATTATGTCTTCTGTCATAATCTTGTTTAGCCTGAGCTACCGTTCTTTTAAAGCCTGCAGCAATGAATTTATAATCGGCCCAGTTTTGTGGGGATTGATTATGTAAGAGCTGCTTCCAAGCTGCCTGACGTCGTCGGTGCTCTCTTGTACATTCATCATTCCACCAACGGCTATATACTCTTTTTGTGGATTCAACAGTAAATTCGGCTCTTTTGTAGGATCGTTTAATGACTGCGTTTATTTTCAGTGCTTTTTTATCATCGCTCTCTTCCGAGTGAAAAGCCAGTGCTGACTTCAGGTCATTCCTAAATTTAGTGTAATTTACAAATACTCTTACATTTGAACAAGATGGAATTATCGGACAAGAAATTTCAAAACTTATCGGTAAGTGGTCACTGTTGGTGCCACAGTCCAGCGCTTTTCAAGAAGAAGTACTAATGGCTGAACTGACAAAACTTAAATCTAAGGCCGACCTGGAGTGATTACGAATAAATGGGGGGGTTCTGACGTTGAGGCACGTCAGGTCATTGGCCATTGTCCACTCCCACAACCGTTTCCCACTAAGATCAGTTCTAAAACCCCAACTCGTGTGTTGGGAATTAAAGTCTCCAACTAAAACTTTGTCTTTGCACCACGATTTTGTAGCTAGATCCAAACTTCGTGTGTCTTGAACTCCATCCGGAAAATACATATTAACTAAAGTGAAAGGAGTGCAGTTGGGCAGTGTAATGTCTACTGCCAAAATTTCGCATTCTGGCGACATATGTTTGTATGAGCATTTGACGTTCACACTAATTCTATTACTAATAAAGAGAGCTAGAACCCCACCTCTCGATGGACGGTCTAATCGAAAAGATTGGAAGTTATTTAAATGGAACAAATTGTGTACAGATAGCCATGTCTCTTGTAATGCTATAATATCAGGAGCGAATTTAGAAGTCAAGTATACCAAATCCGTAGATGCAGAATGGATTGATCGGCAATTCCAATGGAGAATCTTAAGCGACCCTATGGTTTCGAAAGAGCTGCTTCCGCTATAGCTTTCTCTAGAATGCTTTCTTTCAAGAAATCCCTCTTTGAAAGGCTCTCCTTTTCTTTCAGATACTTTTTGTTCTTTGTTTGTTTCGGTGAGTTAGTTTTCCTTGACACAGGGGATCTAGATCTCTTCAGGGACCTAGGGTCCAAATCCATGTCATCGGAATCTATTGTATATGCAGCTTTGTCTTCACTTACACTCTGTATATCTACTGCAGAGGGTGCTGTAGACGGAGAATACGATGGTGCGGTTTCAAATTCCTCATTTTGGCTGTGGACGCCTATTGCAGAGGCTCCTGCGGGCTGATAATACGATGGCGCAGTTTCAGATTCACCGTCAGCTATTGGTCTTGAACTCTCAACATGTTGGGATACTAGGCCTGACTCTCCCGCTGTACCAAATATGCGAGTCATCTGGTTAGCCAAAATTTGAGATAGAGAATCGCAAAGGTTAGAAGTCAGTCGTTCCATGGCTTTTTCTAGAGCCTTTTCTATGGCCTCCGCTATATTCAGGGAAATCGACCCATTTATTTCCGAGAGATGTCGTGCTGCAACACTGGCATACCCCTGAGTTCTAGTCTGTATTTCCGCTAGGGCTTCTCGTCGAGAACAGCGCCTACGCCCTATAATTTCAAGAATTTGCATTTCTCGAGCCTTTGCAGAACAATCAGGATTATCTGCACAGTGTTGTTCGTTGCAGAGACAACATTTCTCTTCTTTAGCTTTGCAGTAATTTGTTTCGTGGTTGTCACCACACACTCGGCATCTGAGTTCTGACCTGCATCCTTTAATAGTGTGACCGTATCGCCAGCACTTCATACACTGGAGTGGTCGCGGTGATAGCGGTTCCACTCTGTATATTAGTGGCCATGCCTTGATTTCGCTTGGGAGATTCACTCCAGCAAAGGTTACAATTACCGACTCAGTCGGCGTCTTCTGCTTCTCTACTAGTCGTGCACACCTATAAACGGAAATAGCACCAGT